TTGGGGTCTCACTGCGGCGGGGTTGAGCCGAAGCATATGCCTTCGGCTTGGCTGAGCCGCTCGGCTGCTTTCGGGAGCTGAACAGGCTATAGTGAATAGCCCGTACAGCAGCCCTTTGGTTCAACTGAATCGACAGGCTCCTGCAACCGAACCTAGCCGAAGCATCAGCCACAGCTACGGCTGATCCTTCAGCTAGCTTTGTGAATAACCCCCTGAGATCTTCAAAACATGTGAGCCCTTATTCTACACATTATTATGCAGTATTCTATTTCACTTGTGAGCGGACGATCGGTAGCTGGCACATAAGCCCCCTGGGAATAAGCAGTCTCTTGGGCACAGATACCAAATCCAGGGGAGTAGTGACAAACAGTGCAGTGTTTATTAGTGAATTGAACAAGAGCATTCACAGGTGCTGTACAGTGGTTCACAAGAAATCAACAAAATAAAACCTAGCTGTATCCCGCCACTAACTTCACAAACAAAAGATATAGCTCCTAACTAACAGGCTGAGCAGGCCTACCGCTTGTCAGCCTCCACAGAAACTGTTTGTAAGTTTGCACCAACCTTGCAGCTCTATCAGACAGGACTTGTCTGATCCCCAGGCAAAGAGCTCTGAGTACAGGTTCGAGGTGAGCTTAAAGGAGAACTATGAGGTGAGTGCTTTTCACTCACCTCATAGTTCTAGCTGACCTGTGACAATGAGACTGTCACAGGTCGGCTCAGTAGATCAGGAGGTGAGCGAACACATACCGGCGTTTGCTCACCTCTCGATCCTGTCACGGCTCTCTTCCGTGACAGGGGAGGGGCTGGATTCCCCCCTCCCCGCTCCAATCAGCCAGCGCTGACTGGCGGAACGGACGGGAGAGGGGGCGGGTACAGCTGGCTCTGCCTCTAGATAGGCAGAGCCAGCTGACAGTCACGCAGCTGGGCGGATCCCGGCATAATTGTCGGGATCCGCTTCAGCTGCGGCGTCTCAGTATACCGCGAGCAGCAGCTCACGGTATACTGCGGCGTCTCAGTATACCGCGAGCTACAGCTCGCGGTATACTGAGCCTAGGGTGACGGAAGGACGCTAGTTTGTGTCCTCCCGTTACCCTAAGGAGAACTATGGGGAGAAGCCTTAACCGCATAGTTCTCCTTTAAATTGCCAGAGGAGAGAGGAGTAAATCCTGCACTGGAGCACGGATCAGCAATTGCTAAATGTATAGGAGAGGAACCTGGGAGACTCCGAAAAGGGCTTTCCCAGGCTCGCTCTGGGATGCTCTGCTAGAGACTGTAGCCAAGGAATGAGATATAACAACAAGATGACCTATGTGGTTACCTGGTGAAATTTGGTTAGATTTGGGCACATGGATGATTTCAAGTTAGGGTGTTTTGAATAGATCTTGTAAGTACAACATGGAGATGTAATATATGATTAATGGTAGGGAAGCACCAATACCATTTATCAAGACTACGATTACGGATACTTTTCCTCAAGTACTCGCCGATACCAATTACTCAACCTTTTTTTAGTGTCATATGACAGTTTTTCTTAAGCAATACAGACGAATGACTTGAGGACAGTGGTGGAGAGCCAGCAATACATTATACTGCAATGCAGAATACCTCTAGCTATAGAGGACTACAAATTCCAGCAATACATTATACAGTAATGCAGAATATTATTAAGCTATATACTCTGTGTTGCTCTGGGGTGGCAGCCTTATGTCTCCAGGGTCTCAGGAGGGCTGTGCAGGGTCTCAGGAGGGCTGTGCAGGGTCTCAGGTGGGCTGTGGGGGGTCTCAGGAGGGATGTGTGGAGTCTCAGGTTGGCTATGCGGGGTCTCAGGTGAGCTGTGCAGGGGTCTCAAGTGGCCTGTGCAGGGGTCTCAAGTGGCCTGTGCAGGGGTCTCAAGTGGTCTGTGCAGGGTGTCAGGAGGGCTGTGCGGAGTCTCAGGTGGGCTGTGTTGGGGTTTTAGGTGGGCTGTGTGAGAGTCACAAGTGGGCTGTGCAGGGTCTCAGGAGGGCTGTTTGGGGTCTGAGGAGGGTTGTTTGGGGCCTCAGGGGGGCAGTGCAGGATCTCAGGTGGGCTGTGTGGGGTCTCAGGAGGGCTGTGCCGGGTCTCAGGTGGGCACTGCAGGGTCTCAGGTGGGCTGCACGGGGCCTCAGATGGGCTGTGCAGAGTCTCACAAAGGGACCGGAGGGTCTCGCAGGCGGGTGCAGGTGGCAGTGTTCCCCAGTAAGGAGGAGATGTGCGGCCAGCGCTGAAAACAGGCGGCGTGGTTTGCAGGAAGGCTGCTGAGGTCCCCAGCAAGCGCAGGATCTCAGGCAGCCAAATCGGTTTAAAAGTTTAAAGCACTGGTATTGGTGTTTAGTATCGGGCATTTTCACGATTACGGGTATTTGTGAAAATGCCTATTATTGGCACCAATACCAGTATCGGTATCGGTGCATCCCTAATTAATAGTATCAAATTCTGCATATGTCATTAGTGAATTTATGATTATATTGTAAATAAAGCTGACAGATATGTCTTTAAGTAATGATGCTGTATATGACTCTTTATTGACACCTTAAAAATGCCAAGCATTTTTGTTAATGGTCTTCAGGCGTGATAAAACAATAATGCTGCATTTATACTGTATGATAGCATCCCTGCTTTCTCAGCTCCACTGTGGAGTCCAAGTGCTCATAAGCCTACACGGAACTTTGATGTTTTATTGAACTAGCTTTAGCTTAAGCTTTGCTCATGAGCACAATTCGACTTTTTTAATGTGGGTTATTTTTTTTATAAGACGTATTTTTTCTTTTAGTAGGAAAGTTATAAAGGAAAAAACTTTACTTTTTGCTTGCATTTCTTTTTGTAATTCAATGTTATTTAAAAATAGATCTTTGCATTTTAATCTGTCAAATAAATCAGTTGGAGAAAAGACAAGGGGAAACAAATATCAATTATCAATTTTCAGAACAGAGAAAGGATTGAATTTGCAACGAGATTTGCTTAAATCCCTGCAATTCATATAGATTGCCTAGAGTGGATAGTTTTTTTCCCAAAACAGGAGTAACACTTTAATTTCCATGCTGACTGTCAGTATGTGCTTGTGAATTTCTTTCTGCTGTCTCTTGGTCTTTGGCTTCAAATTATAGTCTATAATTAGTACCTGTGCAGTACCTGGTAGTTATTTACCACATATTATTTTTGTTTTACAAAGCTGAGTTAATGAAACCTTTATAATCCAAATATTCCAGGAGTTTCTAGATAAACAGTAGATATTTCAGCTGCTGTTGTCAAAAAAAACGGACCTTCTGACAGTGCTTATAAACACTGTTCAGATATGAGGTAGAAAGTTAAATTTATACTTTTGTATTTACTTTTTTTCATTCATCTAATTGAAAGGGTGAGCTGTGACCTGCATTTGATCTCAATTGAAACAACCTAATAAGTAAAAAAAAAGGGTTTATTTAGATAAAATTTGTACCTATTTAACCACTTATTAACCTTTAGTTTACCTAATCAGCGCTAATTAACTCCTTCTTCCCCTTCTCCCCTTAGAGAGCTGCTCCCTCTCCCCTTTAGTGCTGATTTATTTTGTTTATTTCTATTTTACTAACCAATGACATTCATTTTGTTTGCATTTACATTCATATTTGTTCATTTTTTAGTGTGGCATTAAAAAAAGAATAAAATTGGGAAAAGACCTTGATTCAATTTGTAACTAACTTAGCAATGCTCCATACCAGAATCATCATTTTAGCGTTATTTATAGAGGTCAAATTACATAGATTTACAACTTTTATATACAGTAACACTAACTTTTTTAAACTTAAACTTATCAAAGTTTAAAAAACAAATTTGCTTTTTAGTTTAGTTTTAGTTTTTTTATATGGAATGGACAGAAAATAAAATCATTAGCAAAAGAAAGCCTTGTTTTGTATAAATAGATATATGAATTACAACATTATTGCTGAATAAACAGGCCTGCCGCAGAAATGTAAAAATTGTGCTGGTCCCAAGGGGGTGTACAGGTGTGAAAGCTAAAGTGGTTAGAGACTTGTTCATGTTAATGCTGTATTAAAGTGTAATCCTTGTATAGGGCTAAACTGTTTTTTAAACTTTATATAACCTATCCCCTTCAAGACGTTTTCAAAAACCCATGGTTTTATTGTGCCATTGCTGACTTCTCATTCTGCAAATGTTAGTTGCCTAGCTGGCCTCCTGACCCTCTGGTTTTAATATTTTGAATCAGTAACCCAGAACAAGTATGCTGATATGGACTTCTGACTCTGCTCTGACTTTCCAAATTTGTATACTGCTGATTAAGTAACTCACAAAATATAAAAGCCAGTGAATCCGCACAACAGCCAGAGAACTAGCACTTTTTGTGTTTTAAGAAAAGTTTATTGCAACAATGATATATAATATTAATGCTAAAATAAAACAAAATGTCTCCTCATTGCAAAAATTGTCTAACTTTCCGCAACTTCCTGATTCTCTACTTCTTGCCATATTCCTGAACTCTGGCCATTTTACAAAGTGATTCATATGATCAGTTATATGGAGGACCCTTGTCCATCCTGACCACCTGGTTTAAGCCAATGGTCCCCCACTTTCTTCTTTTGGACCCTTATGCAGTAGCATGGGTGACAAAAGCTGCATATTGAACCACAAAAATGAATAACAAAGTAAAAACAGATTTTAAAATCTTTCACTAGAACACCGGATTCACAGGCAATCGGGAAGCCGGGCAACAGGTCATGACCCACCGCCCGACTTCCGATAATCAAGGCACATGGCATCGGTACTGGGTATTGGTGAGTACTGAAGAAAAAAAATATCGGTGCATAGCTAGTATTCATATTTGGATACATGCAAAATAATATATATGTGGTCTCTAACTCTTTAGAAAGTCTTTAGAAAGTCTCAAGCATGTTGGTACACTGCAATATCAAAAATAAAAAATAACCAACCTGTTTAGCCAACTACAGACCAACCATAACTTTATTCCAAAATCAAAACATATTAAGAAACAAATAGCAAACAATAAGAGCTGTATAGGCTCCTGATCGGAGAGGTGCAGAATGAATGTCACTGTTGTGACATCCATGTTGCTCTAGGTTTTACTTCTATCTTGTGATGGAAGAAAGAACTAAAACTGCCGGACACTATATCAGTCTATGAGGAATCAGATGTAAGCAGACATGTGTCCGTCTACATCAGACTACCCCTGATCTTGCACAATCAGGTCAGGCGAAATGGAACACTGTTCTGTTTGTTTTTCTGGACCTGCCCGGAGTCGGGGGTAATCAGGTGTAAACAGACACATGTCTGTTTAGACCTGGCTGCCCATGGTTACCCTGGCTGAAATCGGGCCCGCCCATGTGAAAGAGACCTTACTCAGATTGTTATTATCCACAAAATGGTTTAAATATCATGGTTATAACATACCCATTAAAATACCTACCGACCCTGCATCCCTTACCACACGATAGAAATGTATATAATGTATCTCTACATATGATGAAACCAGGCCAGTATATTGTACACTCGATCATGGATAACAGAACCAAGTGTCCCAATCAAGGAAACATCCTGTGTAATTCCCATATAATAGGATATTCTTTTGCTAAAGTGAATCTTTAAAAAAAAAAAAAGGAAACTGTAAACTCCACCCCACCCCCCAGACACACGTTGTATAAAGCATCTTCTAGTGTTACTTGCCTTCGTCCCTTCTTTGTATATACTGACCATACACTATGGCCATTGCTTGCATTCTACTAGGTAAGCTTCCTACTCTAGGGCTGCAACAACTAAGCGACATAATCGATTATAATTGATTATTGAAAAAGTTGTCAACTTTTTCAATCATCGATTAATCAGCCCCTGATTAGTTGGCCCTGTTCAGGGCTCCACACAAGTTGTGCGCTGTACCTCCTCCCCACCTCACGCTCGCCGCTGCCAGACCCACCCACCCGCATCCACACTCCACACCTCACACCTACTCCCAGCCTCACGCTAACCGCCCGCCCACATCCACGATCGGCACAGGGACGCGAGGGGGGGGGGTTATATTTGGTTTTTTTTTTTACTTATTGGGCATAAATGTAACATAATTTTCAGCAACTTTCTAGAACTTTTCTAATAGTGTTTTTATCTCAGGCAAGCATGTTTTGATATTATGCCAGCGGGTAAACTGTTTTAATTGCTTGCAGGGAGGCTTCAGAAAAATTATGGAAGTTGTGAAATACTTTTTGGCTACATGTTATTCTTCATTGCCACGACAGTCATAATGAGGATGTAAGATACTGCTAAATCTGCTTATCAGAACACTGAACACTGAATGCTGAATGGCAGCCAAGCCAACACTTTCCCTGAGTTTGTTTTGTTGGCCATTAGCCGTTATAAAAACTAAAATGTGTACGCTGTACTGCACTGAATATATTGCAGAAAAGTAAAGTACCAGACCAGAATAATACATATTAAGGGGTCTATTCACTAAGCTGCCGTAGGCAGCCGAGTGAAAGACCGACCTGAAGTGAAGTGAGCCTATTCACTTCAGGCTGGTACGACTGATTTCAGCCATATATCGGCTGAACCGTACATCGGGTGGGTTCACGTGGCTTCGGGTCAGCCGAACATGCTCACCCGAAGTGCAGGAGGAGTTCGACTCAGCCGATCCAACATCTGGATCGGCTAAGCCGAACCTCCGGCAGGCTACTCGCTGCTGTTCGGTCTATTCTTATAGATACCGAACAGCAGTGAGTGAATAGCCGAATGCTGCTGAGCGGCATTCGGCTTGGCTGTTCTGCTCGGTCCCTCAGAGGGACCGAGCAGAACAGAAAAATAGTTTAAAAAGTCCAAAAAAATAAATAGAAAACCATTGGGCGGAGCTAGCAATGACAGCTAGCTCCGCCCAATAGTTTTCTATTGGCAGGCGGTTCTGCTGCCGTAAAAAAAAACGGAAAAAAAAAACTCTCCCGGGCGCTCTGGTAGTCTCCTGCTCCCGGCCGCCCAGGAGAGAAACACTGATTTTTTTTTTGCTAGATTCCTATTGGCTAGATTGCATTGCTAGATTCCTATTGGAGTCTTGTTATGCACAAGCTTGTACAGAGCCACCAGAAATTTAGAGCAGTTACTGCAGCCACATCAACAAAGTTTTTTTAAATTCCAAAAGGAAAATGATAGTAAGTCAACAGCAGAACATTTTTAGAAGCCAATGAGCTCGCAGTCTCCGCTCTAATACATCGCAAAGGTGTTCTATTGAGGTCAGGACTCTGTGCAGGCCAGTCAAGTTCCTCCACCCCAAACTCGCTCATGCATGTCTTTATGGACCTTGCTTTGTGCACTGTTGCGCAGTCATGTTGGAATAGGAAGGGGCTATCCACAAATTGTTGCCACAAATTTGTTAGCATGAAATTGTCCAAAATGTCTTGGTATGTTGATGTCTTAAGAGTTCCCTTCACTGGAACTAAGGCCAAGCCCAACCCCTGAAAAAACAACCCCACACCATAATCCCCCCTCCTCCAAACTTTCAAACTTTACACTTGGCACAATGCAGTCAGGCAAGTACCGTTCTCCTGGCAACCCCCAAACCCAGACACATCCATTGGATTGCAAGACAGAGAAGCGTGATTCGTCACTCCAGAGAACACATCTCAACTGCTCTAGAGTCCAGTTGCGGCGTACTTTACACAACTGCATCCGACGCTTTGCATTGCACTTGGTAATGTAAGGCTTGGATGCAGCTGTTCAGCCATGGAAACCTATTCCATGAAGCTCTCTACACATTATTGTTGTGCCAATCTGAAGGCCACATGAAGTTTGGAGATCTGTAGCTATTGACTCTGCAGACAGTTGGCGACTTCTGCACACTTTGCGCTTCAGCATGCGCTGACCCCGCTCTGTCATTTTACGTGGCCTACAACTTCGTGGCTGAGTTGCTGTTGTTCGCAGTTGCTTCCACTTTGTTATAATACCACTAACAGTTGGCCATGGAATATTTAGTAGCAAGAAAATTTCACGGATGGACTTATTGCCCAGGTGGCAACCTATCACGGTACTACGCTTGAATTCACTGAGCTCCTGAGAGCGACCCATTCTTTCACAAATGTTTGTAGAAGCAGTCTGCATGCCTAGGTGCTTGATTTGATATACCTGTGGCCACGGAGGTGATTGGAACACCTGAATCCAATGATTTGGAGGGGTGTTCCAATACTTTTGGCAATGTAGTGTATTTCAGCTTTGCAGTCCATAGGTGTGTTTCTAATTCCAGGCTAAGAACATTTTTAGCAAATACAGAAAATACCTGTTGATCTTCCCAAAAATGTCATATCTTGTCCTTCTTCCTTCCTGTGAGGGGAAAAGAAAACACAAACATCCTTTGAAAACTATTAGCCCCATCAATCCACCATGTCATAAAGATAAACAAATGCACATATTTTTGAAGTACAGCCTGTTTGGTGGCCATGGCTTATTCCATAGATGCAGTCAAGAAATGAGTGTAGCAATGAAGGTACAGGAAGTGTGTTATTTTGCAGGATCACCAGGTGAAAATATATTGAATGACAAATGACATTTTTGTTTTTGGGTTTACATATGTGTGGAACCCCATGAATCCAGGTACACTTGCCATGTTGACTTCATCAGAAATTGCTGCACATTCACCAACATTCGTTGACAAAATTAATCACATTTAGGGCTCCTTTACACCAACTGCATTCAAGCTGTGCTGGTCACTTTTTCTAGCACAGCCTAAATGCAGGACAAGGAAAGTTGCTTTGTTTTGGCTGGTGACAGTTTAAACCACCTAAAAAAAAGCACAGGTGTTGGCCTAAAAAAAAGCACAGCATGCAGTACTTTTTTTAAACGCAGCACAGTGAGATGCGGTACAACCACATCGTACCGCAGTGAGCCCATAGAACTTAATAAAATGTCACTTGTGACATTTCAATGAAGTTCTAACAGAAAAAAACAGTACGATGCGACTCGATTGAGCACCATGCAGTGTAGCATGGCTGCTGATGTGTTGCTTAAAATGCTGCAAATGTGCTGTTGGTAGATGTTTAATGTACAGTATACAGGTCGGTCCCTGCTTTCCCACCACAGTTAGGTGCTCATACAGCTTGTCATTGGTAATACCGTTGCTGAAAAAGTGTATAGTGGCACATGGACATATTCCAAAAACAGCTTCTTTATTGATCCATAAAATCAATTACATCAGAGATGAACATAGGCTTTTAACATGTTTCACGCACACTGGCATCTGTGTGTTTGAAACGTATTAGAAGACTCTGTTCATCTCCTGTGTAATTGATTTTAAAAGTCAAAGAACAAACTCCTTTTGTAATATGTTGGTGTGCCTCTATCCACTTTAATGTTAAACTATTTTATTGTGAATGTGTATTGAATGTGCATGGAAATTCTGCCATGCTGCTTTCAATGTTGCAGCACTGCTCATTGTACTGATCCTGTGATTTTGTAGTAATTCAATAACTGAAGCGTTAATTTTTGTTTGCTTCTATTTTTTACTTTTTAAAAGAAAACTATCAAGTTGATCTCCTTTGGAATGCTAGTGCCTGGTGGTCCAACTGTCAAAATGGCTTCAACACATACTGAGTCAGTGAGATGCAAAAAAAAAGGTGCAGATTGGGTGTAAGGACATATGCCTGGGTAACTGAATAAAAAATTATTTAGGCTCGAGACAGTCAGACAAATAGTATTTTCAGAAACACAAATGGCAGCCTATACATTATCTGACAGAAGTGAGTACACCCCTCACATTTTCTTTAAATATTTTATTATATCATTTCATGTGACGACACAGAAGAAATGACACTTTGCTACAATGTAAAGTAGTGAGTGTACAGCTTGTATATCAGTGTACATTTGCTGTCCCCTCAAAATAACTCAACACACAGCCATTAATGTCTAAGCCGCTGGCAACAAAAGTGAGTACACCCCTAAGTGAAAATATTCAAATTGCACCCAAAGGGGTTGATTTACTAACCTTATAAACACACCACGAACATGTATACACCTCTGTAGTGTGTTCCCTCCCAGCATGATCTATGGGTGGAATCTAAACACCTTTGTAGTGTGTACACACCCAGCAGGTGTGTTGTGCAAAGCCCTGGATGAATTTGCAAGGTGATGTTGTGTAAATTAGCTCTATGTTGTGTTGCTTGCGTTGATGAATGCAGGAATGTAAATGCATGAGCTAACCATTTTTGTCTAAACTGTGAAGCAGCATTATATATGCATCATGTGCATGATTTTTCCATATATGGCATTAGTGGAAATATGCTTTTAGAGACTTTTTGGTTGATAAATACGTTTTGCTGTGTAAAAATCACATGCACCTAGTGCGTGCGTGTGCTTAGGTTAGTAAATCACCCCCAAAGTGTCAATATTTTGTGTGGCCACCATTATTTTTCAGCACTGCCTTAACCCTCTTGGGCATGGAGTTTATCTGAGCTTCACAAGTTGCCACTGGAGTCTACTTCCACATGATGACATCACAGAGCTGGTAGGTGTCAGAGAGGATGCCCCACAGATTTTCAATAGGGTTTAGGTCTGGAGACATGCTTGGCCAGTCCATCACCTTTAGCCTCAGCTTCTTTAGCAAGGCAGTGGTCGTCTTGGAGGTGTGTTTTGGGTCGTTATCATGTTGGAATACTGCCCTGCGGCCCAGTCTCCGAAGGGAGGGGATCATGCTCTGCTTCAGTATGTCACTGTACATGTTGGCATTCATGGTTCCCTTAATGAACTGTAGCTCCCCAATGCCGGCAGCACTCATGCAGCCCCAGACCATGACACTTCCACCACCATGCTTGACTGTTGGCAAGACACACTTGTCTTTGTACTCCTCACCTGGTTGCCGCCACACACGCTTGACACCATCTGAACCAAATAAGTTTATCTTGGTCTCATCAGACCACAGGACATGGTACCAGTAATCCATGCCCTTAGTCTGCTTGTCTTCAGCAAGCTGTTTGCGGGCTTTCTTGTGCATCATCTTTAGAAGAGGCTTCCTTCTGGGAGGACAGCCATGCAGACCAATTTGATGCAGTGTGTGGCGTATGGTCTGAGCACTGACAGGCTGACACCCCCCCACCCCACCCCTTCAACCTCTGCAGCAATGCTGGCATCACTCATATGTCTATTTCCAAAATATAACCTCTGGATTTGACGCTGAGCACGTGCACTAAACTTCTTTGGTCGACCATGGCGAGGCCTGTTCTGAGTGGAACCTGTCCTGTTAAACCGCTGTATGTTCTTGGTAACCGTTCTGCATCTCAGTTTCAGGGTCTTGGCAATCTTCTTATAGCCTAGGCCATCTTTATGTAGAGCAACAATTATTTTTTTCAGATCCTCAGAGAGATCTTTGCCATGAGGTGCCATGTTGAACTTCCAGTGACCAGTATAAGAGAGTGAGAGCGAGGGGTGTACTCACTTCTGTGAGATACTGTATATGTAATATTTACTATATTAAAGTTTCATGTGTTTGTTTTTTCTAACTATTTTCATGCTTGCACATGCTAATGAATAGATAAAGGGCTAAAATAAACTGTTAGCTAGCTAGTACCCCTTTATGAGGAGGCAAATACATTGCTCATAATCCCCCATCACAGTAAACCCTGATGGAAATTTTAAAAAAACAAAAAATATTTCTTTGTTAAAGTAAAAAATAGAAAAAAATAAAAATGAACACTCCAGGACAGCAACAGCACAATAAATACAATAAATCGCATGGTGAAACTAGTATTTTCATTGTGTAACACAACTTACTACTTCAGACTAATATAACAAATGATAAGGAAATGGTTTTGGTAAATGTGTGGGGATATAAGCAAATATGATTTGAATTGGCAAATGTGCAAGAGTATCCTCCCAGTGAAGGTGCTATATACTTAAATGCAGTGGAAGATTTACCGACAGCTGTGTTGAAAATGTGCAGTGACATTCACTGCCCCTAATTGTCTAAATGCCTGTTTTATGGTGGCCTTCTTACCTGTTTTAGTTGAAAAATGTAACCAATAGAAGTTACTGTGTGGGGATCCTGAGCAGGCGCTCCTGAGCTTACCACTCGGAGCAGAGCAGGGATGTGAGGTCAGGGGAGGCAGAGCCTCACCTAGTGTTATGGGGGAAAAAGCTTTCAGCTTCAAGTCTGAAGCTGACAGCTTTTTCTCCATTCAGAGCGGCTTGTTACAGGTTACAGAGAAGGGAAATCCTCCCCTCTGTGCGACTTGTCATGGACGGAGCGCTGCCTGTTAACCCCTTCGTGACTGACGACGTACAGTGTACGTCGCCAGCATCGGGGCTGTTTAAACAGTCACCGGGACTCTGTTTAAACTTGTAAAGCCGACTGTCGGCTTTACAACAGAAGCGATTCTGGCGACTTACCTGTCGCCAGATCGCTTCTGTGTCCCGAAGAAGGGGCCGCCCCCACCCCCCGCCGGACACTCCACCGTACTTCCCGGGCTCCGTTGCCCCTCCTACGGGCCCGGGACCGGCTTGCTAGGTGTACGCAGGGAGCTGGGGAGGAAATCGACGAACTTCCGTTCATCGATCCCCTCCCCGTTCTATGGGACCGGGAGCGATGCAGATTGCATCACTTCCGGTCCCTGGGCTGTCAGTTCTGGGCTCCTGCAGCCCAGCTATAAGCTATTGAAGTGCGATCTGCACTTCAATAGCTTATTTCCAGTGTAAAGGTGACACTGAGGGTCTTTTGGACCCCCAGCATCACCTTAAAGAGGACCTGTCACCACCATCTGCTATTACATGGGGGGGCTTGCAAGCCCCCCCATGTGATAGCAGTCAAAGTAAAGTAAAAAAAAACAAAAAAAAACAGTTTTTACAATTAAAATGAAATAAAATAAATTTAATAATAATAATAAAAAAATTTAAAAGTCCCCCGCCCCCGCGTCGCCACGTAAACACGCGTCGGGTGCGCCTACGTATGAAAACGACGAACGCGCTACACATGTTGGGTATCGCCGCGCACGCCGGAGTGAGAGCAATAATTCTAGGGCCAGTATTTTGGGGTATCTCTAAATTGATGACCTGTGGGGGCTTTTAAAGCGTCTTCTGTGGACTTTTTGGGGTACTGCAGTTTTTCGCCGTTTCACGGACTCACGCAATTTGTAAACTGGGCATGTTGGGTATCGTTTTACTCAATGTAACCTCATCTTTTATATTTCATTTTTAAAAATTGGTATTTTGTTGTGTTTTGGGGCATTTAATTACATTTTGTCACTAAATTTTGGGGTTTAATAAGGAGTTGCGCTAATATTGCGCAACATAAAAATTTGCAACTACCACCATTATATTGTATAGGGTCTTGGCATTCAGAAAATATATAATGTGTGGGGGTTTTAAGTCATTTTCAGGCCTAAAATGTGGAATATAACATGGGTGCAAAAAATGAAAAAAGGCCTCAGTCATGAAGGGGTTAATTACAGGCGGCGCTGCATCCGGCTTTTGACAGGTAGTTAGGTTACACAGCAGCGGGTTCCCCACTGCTTGTGTGACCTAACTAGTGAGGCCAGAGCTGTCACAGCCTCTACTCTATGTTAGAGGCATGAGCTCTGTGGATGTTTTGGATCAATGGCAAAGCACCATTGGTCCAAGCTGTCCAATCAAAAAAAAAAACCCTGAGGCCATCGATCTCAATGACTCAGCAGAGCAGTGATGAGCAAGTGAGGGACAAGGAGGCTCCTCCCTCTCTTCTCACTTCCTTCTTCACACTAGCTGGGGCTTCGTCCGTATGGGGTGGGGCTTTGACAGGATATGGGCGGGGCTTCATCATGCTCGGGGCTGAGCTGGGGAATGCTTCACCAAGAAGCGAAGGTACCGCACGTCACTGGAGCAGAGGTCAAGGGAAGAGTGAATATTACAACACCTGCTGCCTTCTGGGACATTACTGGAATCCTTATTACTAAGGATTCATTTACTATATAACACCTGTAAGCCATTGTCTAGGACACTAGAGTAGTACATAGATCACAGTGCTAACATGACAATGGCAATCTGCTTTTCTGTAAAGAAGAACAGTTCATGCCAGCTTTGTTCCGTTATCAACCAGGCTCAGCATCTACTTCCTGTACTAGGATGTTGTCTCAGAGGTGACATGTCAAAGTCTGGTGCCTATACAGTTCTTGAATGTGTTTTCAAATGCCTGACATAGATCAGCCCCTGATGTAGCTTCTCACCTTGGCTACAAAGTTGAGGTCTGATAACTTGAGAGAGGAGAGGGATTATATGATTCACCCTGCCTGTGCCAGACAGATGCCATCTTATCAGCATAGGCCAGTGATGGTGAACCTTTTTAAGCCTGAGTGCTCAAACCGGAACACTAAACCAGCTAAGTATTGCTATGAGGATACTATATGCATGTAATGTTACTAAAGTTGTGTGCATATCCTTATGAGCAGACAATCCGGAAATTCAATGGAAATCGAATGTGCATTTCCAGTGATCACATACTTAAAAATATGTTTGTAATGTCAACATTACAGTATGTTTTAGGCTGGGTTCACACCTATGCGGATTGAATATGCGCGATTGTCGAGCGGTTCGCGGTGCACGTTTTTACTGCGATTCGCGGCAGACAAACGCGCGTTTCCGAGGGCTAGTTGGCTGTTTCCCAATGGAAACGCCCGACCAAAACGCCCCAAAGAAGTACATGTACTTCTTTGGGCGTAGGGCGGTTTCCCGCGCGTTCGTACTCGCGGAAAAAAGCCTAGATGGGAACCATGCACATTGAAAATAATGGCATTTCCCTGTTTGAGCGTTTTTCCGCGAGTACGAAAGCGCGGAAAAACGCCCAGGTGTGAACCCAGCCTTAGTGATTTTGTTTATGTTCTCCTGACTTTCCAGTAGTTATCGGAATTTCAACCAGACCTTACCAGGTAACCAGGGGACGCTGAACTGTTATTACAACGAGTTGTCATTGTAATGACAGTTTAGCGTCCCCTGGTTACTTGGTAACCAGGGGGCGCTGAACTAATGACAGCTTGGCGGAGCCGGCCATGATATCCGCCGAGTCGTCATTGTAATGACAGTTCGGCATCCACTGGTTACCTGGTAACCAGAGGATGCTGAACTGACATTACACAATGAGAACTCAGCTGAGCCGGCCGTGATGTCACTGCTAGCTCCGCCCAATTGTTTTCTACCTTAAAGGTACCGAGCAGGATAGCCGAGCTGAATGTCGCTCGGCTGCATTCGGCTAGTCACTCACTGCCATTCGGCCCCTATGAGAATAGGCTGAACGGCAACGAGTAGCCTGCCGGTGGTTCGGCTCAGCACTTCGGGTCGGCCGAACATGTGCAGAAGAGCATGCTCGGCCAACCAAAAGCCAGCCGAAGCAAGCCGATGTACGGCTGATTTCAGTTGATGAACGGCTGAAATCAGCTGTACAAGCCTGAAGTGAATATCCGAAGCTTACAACTTCTGGCCGGTTATTCACAGGGCTGCCTTTGGCAGCTTTGTGAATAACCCTCATAGTCTATACTTTGGACAGCCAACAAGTTCGCATAGACCAGTCTACACATAACCTGTACTAGAGATACCCAGCTGGCAATTCTGTATGTTAGCCAGCCTTTACACTTCCTACAGAGACCCAAATTATAGTCCACAGTATGTGTGCAGCTTCCATGGCCTATCCGGGAGGCATCTGGGTAAAAATGTGCTTTAGTGCTTTAATGTGCTATTGTTTTCATAGTTAATCAGTTTTAGTAAGCTATGATTACATTTTGGAGTCTCCCTCTTTGAAGCCATTGATCTCTGTGCTGGAGAACACTATCATTTATCAGATTCTATTCACCTAGTTTAGAAACATATTTTTTAGATTTTTATATCTCTGTACTACTCATACTGCTCTTTACCAGCATACACTTTATTATTCAGTTTGGAGTACAGTCAGTGATGTTATATAACAAGTTGCCTCCTTTTCACTTGTCATGTCAGGCTGCAGGGAATTATCTTACAAGTGTATTAGACATGTGTGGCAAGCAGAGAAAATATTAAAAACAATTCCTGGAGGCACATGCGCACTAAAACTCAGGTGCTGTATTTGTTTTAATAGAGATTTTAGAACAGCTAATCAAAATGTCTCTATATACAGTATGTCCACTAACTGATGAAAATCAAATGGAAATCCGTGGTAAATTGAATGGTTTGACAGCCTGCTGTTGACTGCTGGGCAGAGCCAGCCATCATCTCAC